CTCCCTCCCTGACATATGCTGCAGGCTGACCAAGAAATATTTCTGACCTTAAGAACCCATCGGAATCCAAAGCTGGGGTGCATGAACTTCACAATATCCAGCAAGATCTCCAGTGTTCTGATATCACCGTCAAACCGATCCCTGAGGTCAATGTACTGCACCTACGGGGACCAGAAGTGAACAAAAACAGGCTTTTCAAGTATTATGCACAACATATATGCATAACATCAAAATAGCAAAAAAAACATAGCACATAAAAACACTCATGACAGGACCCTTTTTTCATGTAGGTTGCAGTAGACCCCCCCCCTACCGGAAGTGAAAAATAGGGCAACATTTTCCAGGCTGGTTGATCCTGCCAAAACAAGTGTCATCACTTGGCTTGTAACCTGGATTGGAGTGTTGCGATTCACAGTATACTTTGTACAATATACTCAATTATGACCTTTTTACGACCTTTATGTGCCTGAAAGTAACAGAAAATGTTCTCAGAATCAGTGCTCACCTTCACAGCGACAGGGGTCCCGTCAAACAGTTCTGCCTTGTGGACCTGAGCCAAGCTAGCAGCAGCGATGGGTTCATAGTCGAACGTTTTAAAGAGCTGCTCTGGGGTTTTGTTGAAGTCTTCTTGGAAGAGAGCATCCACCTGCCACAGAGACAAACACAACCCTGATGAATTTCAGGCTGTGCTGTTTCGCGGAACTCCGTGCCTTATTTGCGGTGGAGCCCTCACCTCTTTGTACCTCCTGTTCAAGGCCTTGTCTTCCAGTATTTGCAGGGTGCGGATGTACTCGGGGGGTAGGAGGTGGTTGAAGGAACACAGACCTTGGCCGAGTTTGACGTATATCCCGCCGTTCCTTATGGCTCCTTCCACCATGCACTCTGCTGCCCTCTGGTGGCAGGCTGACATCTCAGCCAAGTAGAATGGGCTGTTCTAGCAGTAAGACATGATTGTCCATACAAGATTAACACCCAACGGAAAGCAACGCTAAACCTGCGGCATTTTACTTTATTCCTGGATGTACAGAGGATGTGTGGGGGCGAGAAAAGGGCACGACAGATATACGTCAGATATGAACTGGTTATGACACTTAGACCCCAAGAACACCCATCAGTATTTGTGTTAATCACTGAAAGTTCAGGGTACATTCAATTGAAAACAAGTTCTCTCTGAAAGTCTTTACTAGCATGATTTAGCAAACTTGATCGAACAATCAGAAAATAACGATTTGTTTCCCCGATTCACTGCTTTGTTCTCGCTAGCGCTCCCTCTCTTCATTCACTTTCTAGCACGCTCAACCACTGCTGCGTTCTCTCTTTGAATGGGGCCAACTTTGTGTAAACAGTAAACAATAAATCCTATTCATTCTGCCTGTAAAGACTAATTCACTTAATCCGATTAATCCCTTTTTTCACATATGATATGACATATGATATAAAATATAACAACAGACATTCAAAGCCGCAATAAAAAAACCTTACATTGGGTACAGCCTTACATTGTGTTTATCAAATGGTTAGAAATAACAGGAACATGCATACGTTTCTGTCCAATAAGGTAACACAGACTCATTGCCTTCACTGTACGCGGAGAAAAGACCATTCTGAGCCAGGAAAAATACTCAAGCTGTCACCCACTGTTTGTCAAAGCTTTCAGTATTTATTAACAAAGGTAGGGAAGGTACTTATTTATACATTTCATTAAAATGCCACATTAAGCTATAGGTGAGATAGAGTAGTCATTTTAAGGTGCCTAAACACATTGAAAAGATTCATCATCTCTCCATGTTTAGTCAAAATCAAACCTCCTTCGACCCATTTTCATCACATGGAACTTACCTCGTCTAGGCCACGAACGCTCACATTGGTGGTCCACCAGTAATCCACAGAGATAAAGATTCCCACAGAGAGAGATCTGAGGACACACAGATAAGAGACTTCAAAAGGTTTGGATTTGACTCGTGACATGAACAGGAATGTGAGCATTTCCTACTATTAACAGTCTGTATTAGGAACACTTCAATGGTGGCTATTAATCGGGTTTTTTCTAAAAAGAATCTTGGGGTCCAATGAAATGATAAAACTGACAAATATTCATAGAGTTCCTTTATCTAATACACAGGGGTTAACAACCTTTACCATCAAAAGAAAGACATTTTTGGCAAAAAAACAAACCACAAAACAGATGTGAATCTTATGATGTTAATTTCTCATCGCAGATCAAGCATGCAAACAAATTTGTCCATGCACTAATAAATTCTCTCTTTCCCTCAGAGACTTTTCTTACTTTTGGATTTGGAATCCATAGCTAGCCTAGCTAGGGAGCGTTCAGACTAGTAGCTACTGCTACTGAGGTGGCTACTGGTAGTACATAGAGGAAATGGCACCAGGTCAGGACGTAATGTATGATGCACATTTGAGTTGACCAAATGTTCCAACATTTGTTTTATTCTGTGTGTACTACCACAATGATAAATGTAAATGAAAATGTAACTGCCATATAAATGATTGTCAGAGCCACAGGCAGCTACTGGAGAGCCCACGGATCTCATTACAGTGAATTTAAGAGACAACTCTTAAAAATGTAGTGAAACATGGGGTGGTTTTTAGAGATTTGCATTTGTGTAAAAAGTATTTGGCGATTTTCTGTGCTCCATTACAAAACCAAATCTAATATTACTCAATAGCCAATGGTTAAAATCCTCCCAAAGTAAATTGGATGCATTTTAAGAGAACATCAAATTTTCTATTGCTTCGGTTCCTATTTCACAAAATACACTTTTAAAACTGACTGACATTACTGAGTCAGGACACTGTTACACTATGTTTTGACGTTTATTCATCAATTGGGACTTTGTGAATAAAATAATGTGTGTCAGTATTAAGCAGCTTATCACTCAACTTTAGTAAATATCAATAAGGAATTCCTGAGAAACACAGATGCTGTGAGCGGAGCATCTGAACTGATTCGTTACATCTGCTGACAAAAGATATAGACAAACCTGCAGAAGCGACCAAATCCTTCAGTCACAATCCTGATCTTCCTCCTCTCTCTTGGTGCGGACACGGCATAGTGGACACCCACTGCCACAGGTACGCCGACAGAGATGCCAACAAGTGTCTTCCATAACAGTCCTCTGCGCTTACCTTCCCTGGAAGCAGGGAACAGTCCTGTTCATCAAAACAGCAACATCATCACGTGTAGAAGTTAATCTGCGACCGTGGGTTGGCCGCTATTTGGTACCTGAGTGAACTGAAGGATCTGGTTGGTTGGAGCGAGGAGCCAGGGTGTGGGATTCTTCGGAGCTGAGCCATGTGGTGCAGACACAGCCTTAACTGCAGAGAATAAAAAGACACAGGGTGAGTACTCTCATCTTTGAAATACACATATGAGCTGACTATCAACCAGGGACCTGTGGAAAGATTACTAGGTTTAGGACAGTCAGTTCAACTGAACCTGAGCTCTTTGGATCTCACAGTGCTTATTCCTCACTGCAGTCAAGAATGTGGAAAGCCTGCAAGCTTTGGCAGTTGAGCTCGTCAGCAGAGACACTGTTTCACTTCTTCTGTTTGTAAAAAGAAATTGCAATTGTTTGGAGGACGCAATTGTTGGTGAACAATCCCTTTCCCATAATTCCCACTCACATTGTCAGCTGCGTCTGTATGAAAATCCTCTATTTTATCCTGGAAACGGGAGTTTAGTTGGGGGCGCTAAGAGGACGCCAAATGTGTTGCAAGTTTAAGAGCAAGGCGGATAAAACAGGGTCGTTTTTTAAAGGAACGTCAAGTTTCTGAAATACACTGTTGGAGTGCCATAACAACGACCAACCACATGGCAGCTAGAAGGGTCTAACTGTACAGGGACTAGGGCTGTGTACTGACCAGAACACACTGAATACATATCATGTCATAGTATAAAGAACAACGCCGCCACATGCAAAACATCTGAGAATCTCAGGAAATCTGTGCAACCACAAGAGCGAGATTTACATTTACAGCACTGACATCTAGTGGTTGGAGGTCTAAACTCTAAACTCAATAGTGTTTGGAGAATCAAAACAAAATATTGCAAGGCAGTATGAAAACAAAAATAGCATTGCACCCTGCCAAAGATATTGAGTTTAGAATAAAACTAAACTTATGGATGATACAAACCAGAGAAAAGAAAGCAGCACATCCTTACAACTGAGATGCAGGAATAAAATAGTTCCTGATTAATTAGTTCTATCGAGTGGCTAACTGATTAATCGATTATTCCTGTAACATGCCAATGCCCTTTACTCTAAACCCCGCCCCTTGAGTTGGACACTGAATCATGGTAGCCGATAGCCACCTTCACCTTCTGCTGAAAGTTCTGAGGAGCCAGATATCACTAATCTGATGGACATCAAACTTGAATCACAACACAGGCCCAGATAGAGTATTGAGTAACAGACAGCAAGGGGATATGCGTGTGTGTGTGTGTGCTGGGAAGTGTCCACCAAAGAGCAGCCAAAACAGGATCAAGGCCAATATGACCAGCTGGGGTACTCTGTTGTTTTTGTTTGCTGTCTGCATCTGAGGGACAAAATGTCTCCAGTGCTGACAAATTGATGTACAGATAGCAGTGATGTCAGGGACCTGAGCACTGAAATATCACACAGACCGTGTGTCACCCACACATCACCACAGTGAATGAACGGCACGCTGCTCTTGTACATACAGACTACATACACGTTAAACGGAGTTGCAGCTGCCAACGATGAATGGACATCTTGTGAAATACAGCTCAGCAACCTTGACAAATATACTCCTCGGGATTTCGAACAACAGCGCTCACACGTTCAGTTCGTCTTTGACGCCAAACACACCTTTAACCCTTTTAGCGCCGTGCACCAGTGCGCTGTACCCGTTGCTAGCATGAGCAGCTAATTAACAGTAAACATGAACTGAGCTGATAGCTGTGGGTCAGCCGGCTAACTGAGGCTAACGCTACTATCAAACCGCGCTAAGAAATGGTTTAGAAATCGGCTTTATTTACCGCTCTGTTCGTCTCCCCTGTCATGTCTCCTGGGGTAACGAAATATCGCCGCTCACAGTGATGAATGAACTAATATCCAAAGTGTCCTTCCTGTTCGGAAAGACGCCTCCTCCATTAGTGGGCTTCTAACGTTACCCATTAGCATGCCTACTATTGGTTGTGCCGAAGAGTGCGAGCGACAGAGCGAGCGAGAGGAGCACTCCCCACTGCGCACTTCCGCTTTCGTTGGCGGGGGTCAGGCACTCCGACACATGGAGCGTCCTGTGTGCCGTCGTAATTATCAGCACTTCTCATTATTAGATTCAGCAATTCATTTGAAAATATACAATTGAGGACATGATTATATTTACAATACATTTTAATTGCGTGCTTAAAAAACGATTTAATAAAAACAAATACAGCCTCCTTTGGAAATTGTAACTTCGGGATATAGAAATAAAGAAAGAAGGTTGATTTTAACTGTAATATATATATATAATATTTCAAACGTTTTACTGGTAGACACAAGATGTCTCTACTTCACTGAAAAGTCCATTCTCAGTGTATGTGCACTGGTCACTTTTGTAAGGTGCATATTGAACCACTATTGGCTCCAAAGTAGGTGTGTTGTAACAAAATCCTGCTCATATGTAAATGTCTTCATCTCAGATTTGAGGTGAGCACAGAGAACCAAGTGAAGAAACAATTAGCAATAGAACTCCTATCAACGGTGTGAAACATGAGCTTTCACTGTACTGTACTGATAAATGCCCTCTGCCCATGTTAGAAGGTGCAACTTGTTGCTTGATGAACACAGCAGGTTGCGTTTAGAGCGGTCTGTTATTTATCAGTGGTCGGACATGCGCAGTGGACAGATGTATCTTGATGCTGCACTCTCTGAGAGGAGGTACCGAAATGATACGTCACTGATTATACAGAGTGGTCCGAGCCCTTGTTATTGTGTTTTTATTTCAAGTTTTAAAAACTTCATTATTGATAGTAGCCTAATAGAGCACAAAAAGAAATTTAAAATGTCATGACCTTGGGTGTCGGTAATGTCACCCATACAGTGTGAAGGAAGATATTTTATAACCTTGCTTCAGTTCGGAGAGTCCAACCCACAGGACTGTCCTTTAATAAGCCGGGAGGTCATTGGGTACAACAGTAAATGACGGCTCATAGGCAAAAAAAAGCCTGTTACCGCCAATAGAGCCACATGAGACAGTACTATAGTATTAGTTTTATGTTACATCATCTTACATCAGGTCTCTGCGGCCCCACTCATCTCAACCTTTATGGAAAGTTGTAGCAGAGCAAAACAACAAGGAACGATAGCTTGAATGGAGTTAGTCATTATAGACGAATTCATTTTGCTGGAATTTGTGTTTATAATTTAATACAGTATTACAACTGTAAAAAGACGCTCTTTTATGTGCCAGTCTCGAGTGTATTACTGTCAGTGTATAGAGTTAATAGCGATATCAAAGCGGCAAGATTTAGCTAGGGCGAAACCGGAAACACGGGTTGGCCTTCAAAAGAAAGACTGTATAATTACTCACAGAAAAATAAAGACATACAGGTCATATTCATAACAACAAGCACTGACAACATTTACTGTAATGATTGGATACCCTATGTTGTGAAACTGTAGTTCTTAAAACGTTTCAATAAACCATATGGCACTGACATTTCATTGGGGATTTTATTTTGAAACCGTATTGGACATTGTGTGTTTGTCATCTAACTTAGCTGGCTGCTCGGTCCACCGGATGCAGTAGCGACCCGTGTCGCTGCAGTGTTGCGCTTTCCTGTTTACGGGCGGGAAGAGCGAACGTAGCTGACAGTGGAAGCTACTGTGTTTAAATCGGCAGCACATTGGTTTTAATTCTCCTTGATGCTGATGGCTCGCACGTTTTAATGATACACGGGGCACTGCGAGGACCAGTGGATACGTTTTAAGTGGACCGTTGCTGAAAACTAAAGGGATTTCTGGAGAGTGCGGGGCAGATGGAGGATCCTCCTGCAGATTCTGGCGGCGGTGGCGGCGGTGCAGCAGCGGAGGGCCCCGCGGTGCAGGTGGCAGATATGCGCTGGCCGACCGGGGCTCTTCCTCTACGGCTCCTAGAGTGGAAAGTTAAACCCGGGACTCTTGTTAACGTGGACTCCGTGCTAGCACTGTGTGCACCCATACCTCAGGAGAAAGGGGCAGAAGCTGCCAGGCTGCCAGAGAGGAAGGTGAAATCGGACCGTGCTGGAGTAGTCAAAGAGCTATGCTGTCAACTTGGACAAGTCATACCTCCCGGGTGAGTCACTCTGCTGGCTATAGCTAACTAATGTTTGGTGACCTGCCCCCTGCCTGGAAAGGCTACAGGCAACATGTCAGCGATAGTTTTGGTACCGCTTCGCCAGCTGCTGACATCACCCGCAGTGTAACGTTAGCTAGCTAGCAGGCTAACGTTGCTATACACAAGTGCTAAGTTAACGTTAGCCTGTTTGCTAGCCGTACTCGAACCATCACTCACAGCACTTGTTCGTGTCAGTGTCAAGTCAGTCAAAATAAACAAGCAGACTTTTGGCCAAAACTTTCACAATAAAAGTGTATGCTTTTAGATAATCTGTTTCTGAACTTTTTCAGTCGTTGCAACGAGAGCGGAAATAATAACCAATTGTAAACAGAATTTAAGCAGACATTATATGATTTCTGGAATTGTCTTTTTGCTGTACGTGCAATTATGCTTACTGGCCAAACATGTTAACGCTTTTATTTTGAAGGCAAAATCACGGTACGTGTTGCCTCGTTTTGTTTGCCTTTACACAGCCGTTCCTCGCGTGCGCGAAATGTGTATAAGCTGTGCAGGTTGACAGGTAGAGGACCGAGTCTGCTCTTCTTTTTCTGAGACGGCCGTTGTTACGCCTGCTTCTGCCTGCCCGACTGTCACTGAAGAATAACAGGAGACGTGTTTTTAAATTTAGGGATACTAGTTCCATTTGTCTTTTTTGCACAAAGTCCTAAAATTGCGCCAATTGTTAAGTGTAACATGATTTGCCGCTACGCCTCTGAGAGCACCGTGCTGCCTTCAGGTGTTCCTTGTAAACTCCTGACTGACTTTGAAAGTGTTGAAAGTGTTTGTACAGTGCCCTCAGTCGGAATAATATCAAACTGGACCATGTGTCGAAAGTGATTACAAAGCAAAGCAACTGAGTGTATTACACCAAACAATTCGTTACTATAAATATGGTTTATTTGACTGGTTTTCCAACTTGCTCTCTAAGTAACAACCCACCATTTGTCAGCAAACTGCTAACATATAATTTTGCAGCTCACAGCTAATGTGTGTACAAGAGCTAAAACATGTAACCTTTAATAAACTTCATTCACAATGAGGCCTTGCAAGCCACAAAGCAAATGCATAAAGGTGGAACTAATGGTCTGTTACTGGTTTGTGGTATTTCTTTTACACTAACATTCTCCTTCTTTTTTCCAGGGGTGTGATCGTCAGAATAGAAGAATGCAGCCATCCAGTAGTAATGAAGGGTTTATGTGCTGAGTGTGGCCAAGACTTGACTCAGTAAGGAAATACAAACAGTCATTTTCTTGCACTACAACGGAAACATGCATGTTTTCATATTCCTGCTCCTTCTTGGGATGATATGTTTGACACTTTCCCTCACAAACCCTCACAGCTAATTGCAAACACCCCTAGCAACACAATATAACAGTTTAGTCATTCATTGATCAAAACAATTTCAAGCTGATTAATAAGCAATCTTTGTAAGAATGTTACATTCCTGTGTAATCTGACCTAAAGTATTTGTGGTGGATTCTATATTACTTAATACCATCAGGGGGCACCAGAGATCATCCAGAGAGAGCAGAGTACAGCTCTGGTCATAAATCAAGTGCTTACACTCTGCAATCTCCCTGGTGTCAGTTTGATGGAGATGTAAAATCTACAGCTGTCAGTTAGAATCTAAGGCATGCTAAATCTATTGCAGATTTTATTGAATTAGAGACACACTGTAGCACCTGTATTTATACTGTGAGGGAAAAGTGTGGATACATGATGTGGGTACCTGGTGGAAATATTAAACAGCAGTTTTGCCTTCCCTTTGATAACATCTTTTACGTATTGGTAGATGACAGACAATGTGAGCCTGAAGTAGCTTGGAACTGCCAACAATCAGCCAAGTCACTTGCTAACGGGAGTATGTTCTGCGCTCACTACGGACGTTTGCACAAATCAAACCAAACCAGCATGTTTGTGCAAGTGGCTTTCCTTCTCAGTCACAGTGTGTTCATGGGCCTAAGAGATACACAAAAGACAAAATGCATGACTCCCACTCTTTTTTTTTTTTCCCTTCTCCATCTCAGGCTGCAGGGCACAAACGGGAACCAGCAAACTCCCATCTCCACAGCAACAGTCTCCATGGTGCACAGTGTCCCCGAACTGATGGTCAGCTCAGAGGTGAGTCATATGTTGGAGATACCTGAAGACTAGGCTAGTAGGCCAGATATACTTCACAATCATGCCATTATAAAGACTTGTTTTGTGCATTGCCCTTGGAAGCACACCGCCCCCAGTGCTTGAAAGACGTTCACAAGATATTATATATGGCCTGTTTGTTTGTCTTCAAATTGAATTAATTTGATTTAATTTTCATGTTAAAAATATGAACAAATACTCACTGTTTCTTGCTGAAGTATTTCAGGGTGGAAAATCTCTCATGTGAAACAAATTATAACATAGTCACGCATAATAACAGTCTGTATAGGCAGAGGTTTCTATAGACAAACAGTTTAAAATATGCAGTAGATGTGTCTGGTAATAAATGTTTTATTTAAGTTTTAATAAATAATTATATATGTAAAAAGCACAGAGGTCATTAAGAAGCATTATGTAGTGGTTGCTCAAGTTTTCCTATTGTCCATTCATTATGTTTGTTCTCTCCAACAGCAAGCAGAACAGCTGGGCAGAGAAGACCAGCAGAGACTACACCGGAACAAAAAGCTGGTCCTGATGGTGGATCTGGACCAGACACTGATCCACACCACTGAACAGCACTGCCAGCGTATGTCCAATAAGGTATTATTCCATCACATCACTCTTCTATACCACTGAGATGGAGGGGCAACCTCATGTAACTTTATATTCTACATTAAATGCTTAACCTCGAGCAGCACAGATCTGAGGCCTCGTAGTGACATGTGTGGCCACGCTGATCATAGTCCTGTCTGAAAACCAGTATCATGCTCTGTAGCGCTATGAGTGGTCAAAACCTCTAAGGGTCACTTTTAATTTATGAGCTTCATGAGTTTAATAGTATGCACCTGTGTGAGCCTCACAGCAGTCTACCATGCAGGCCTCAACAACTGTTTTGCGGGTTAGACGGCAGGTACTCGACTTGGTGCAGGACTCTGTGCTAGTATGCTTCATCAGAACCTCTTGTTGGATGGTCAGATAGCTTCAGAAACCCCCTCCTCACACACACTCTTCTGTGTTAGATTGGGGCTGTGTCTGAGCGAACTGTGTGGAGGTGAGAAAGTAAACTGTATTTGTGCCACTTTTTATGTGAGCGACTGGGTGCAGCACTCTGAACGCCTTCCAGGAGAGTCTGTCTGGAAGTGTGCGTTATTCTCTCATATTTAAACGAGTATCACGTCTCTCGCTCTCTTTATGACAGTTGGCTTTCCACCCCGCCTTCGAGTGGCCATTCGCAGCAACTAGTACAGCTCCAGCATAATAGAGCTGTTTGGGTTTATCTGATACAGGATGTGGATTTTGTAGCACATGCTGTAATTTTCACACTTTTAGGTCAGGGTCACCCTCCATTTACCACTAGAAACTAGATCCAATAGTAATTTCATCAAAGTACTTTGCGTTGATCTATTTCAGCCTTTCACTGTTTCAACTGAAGCTCTTGTTCAAAAATGTACTTTAAGAGCAGACATTGAGCCCGTTATCTGTGGTTTTTAACTGACTGTATCATAGTTAACACTCTTGTAATTTCCTCCAGGGCATTTTCCATTTCCAGCTCGGGCGAGGAGAGCCTATGCTCCACACACGACTACGCCCACACTGCAAGGAATTCCTGGAGAAAATTGCCAAACTCTATGAGTTACATGTCTTCACATTCGGGAGCCGCCTTTATGCACACACAATTGCTGGTAATGAACTCAGTTTTACACTTAACAGCACTTTCCCCACATTATAATTCATTAATCCACATAGTGTTGTTGATATTAAAATGCATCAGTCTGCAAACTTTATAGATTTTGACAGTTTAGGGAAACTTGCAATTGTAGCTTCTGCTTGTACTGCCTGTTTGTGTCCATAAGAGGGAAGTGTGTGCTCATGTTTCTGTTCCAGCCGATGTTACATTGGTTCACTGTTCACTGTGCATCTAATGTCTCCATGTGTCATTTGCAAGGAGTAGTGCTGCTAGGTTGTCAAACAGGCCAATTAATGTTTTGCATTGATATTGTGCCTGGTTACAGGTACACTAGACAATGCTTCCATTATCAGCCTAGTTTCAGCAGCATTTGGCTGGACTGCTGTTTGTTTCCTTCTGAGTGAAAATATTTCAGTTTATGATTCAAGGTTGAATTATATTGAAGTGTAGGTAGTGTGTTTATATGCTGTCTTTTTGGGACTGCAATCCTTCATCAGACTGTATATAATAGCAGCAGCCCCAGTCCAGTACTGTAGTGCCTCCATGTGATGAATGTTTAATGCATTTTGAATTGGATTTTACTACTGGCCCTGATGCAGGAAGGCTGACATGTTTCAGAGCAATGCTCCAGCTATCGACATCTTCTGTTGTGGCTGTCTTTGTCTGAGGTTTCATCAAACTCGGTATTTCTTTACAAACGTAGTAAGAAAGACGGAGAAAAGTAGGTTTTCAACACTTGATTCTGTGGGAATATACTGTAGAAGTGAAAATGTCTTAATGTGTGAGAGGGTCATCTTTATTTTTGTTAATGTTTCAAATAAATGTGAAACATCTACTGCGACCTTAGAGAGGAAGTTTATGATCTACATTCAAATGTGTATATTTTTCTTCATTTTACCCTTTTCTCTTCCTTTTTTAAGGCTTTCTGGATCCTGAAAAGAAGCTTTTCTCTCATCGGATCCTTTCAAGAGATGAATGCATCGATCCTTACTCCAAGACGGGGAATCTAAGGTGGGAAGTGCCTTCTGCTAAAGATGACAATTAAATCAATCGTTGCACCTTTCCACTATATTGGCATTATTTTACGCTTTTCTTAGCCTGGGTAACCATTTGTACCATGGGCTGTCTGTATTGTCAGTGACTGTAGACTAGCTCAAATAGTAGAGATCTATTGTTCTCTCTCAATGTCACCTGAATGAATGGTTGTCTGTGACTGTCTCCTTGCAAATAAAAGAATTGGCCAGATGATGCAAGACATTGAAATGCCCCTTATTTTGATCTACCACTGCAACATCGCTACAGCCAAAGAGAGCTAAATAATGGCCTCACAGTGTTTATCAGGAAAAGTTGGGAGCATTTTTTGCTAGTGTCTTTTCTTGTGCATGATTCTCCTGACAGGAACCTCTTCCCCTGTGGTGACTCGATGGTCTGCATCATCGATGACCGGGAGGATGTGTGGAAGTTTGCGCCCAACCTCATCACTGTGAAGAAATACATCTACTTCCAGGGCACAGGGGACATCAACGCTCCCCCTGGATCACGGGAAGCTCAGATGGCAAAGAAAGGTACGGTACCAACACATCTTTGATAACAAGTTGACAACAAAGTTGCTGACAGTTTATGTAACACTGAGGGTCAAATGGAAGACCAAGAATGCACTGGCCGGTGAGTAGTTTCCAGTACTCTGCACATTCCCCCTGTGAGAGCCACTTTTGGCTGAAGCTAACAAGCAAGTCAGTCCCATGGATTCACTGATCTTGGGCTGCTTCGTAGCGTTAATGCTGACTGTTACACGGTCCGTTACATAGTTTGAAATGGTGTTAGAGTTCAATCTCAGTGAGATCCAGTACAGTAAACTCTGTGCCCCTAAGTAAATTGAGGACTAATTTTGTGCCAACTGTTTTACAATTCAATGCACTTTATGGAGTTTTAATTGGTGACGCGTCAGGTAGGGCTGCAACTAACGATTATTTTAATTCTCGATTGATCGATCAGTTGTTTGGTCCATAAAATGTTGGGACATTGTAAAAAGCGTTGGTCA